TGCATACCCAAAACAAACGCGAAAAATATCTCCCATACAACGTCGTTGAAAATTTTTCGCGAAAAGTTTATCGCGATAAGCTGTTGTGAGTGATCGCGAATGGATTATTTGCATCGTTTTTCATATTTATGAGAGGCCGACATCGGCAATGCTCGGACTTCTTATATTCGAGTGAAAGGAAATTTCTTTGCTTTTTTCGATCGCGAATGAAAAGCAGCGAAAATTTTTTTTGTCGATCGCATTCCGAATGTGAGAGATGATAAATTTGTTGCATTTTTCACTCGCGATAAAAGAATGCAAAAATAGACTTGGAATATTATCGATCGCGATAAATCTCGTAAAAGAATGAAAACGAATAATCATAAATGAGAATTTCCGAACCCTGAGAAAAAGTAGCAATTTTAAAGAAAACGTATTCTCCTGTTCCAGTTAATAAGTGTTACATAACAAAAACTTGTTGAAAAAAATTTTATGGTTCTCCCAAAACAAAAAAATACACAAAAAAAATTTTGAAATGTTATAAAAACAATGTTCACCAAAATAAATATTTTTTTGGTTTTTAGTAAAAATTGGTTGAAAAATGAAAGCTGCGGTGCATTATGAACATTAAATTTNGTTTATACCTTAGAAGTACAGTTTAGCCGTAAAAGGGGTGTAAAGGAAACATGATTGCCTATTTATATAATTGATGTAGATACATACATATATGTTTCCACCATAATTCATATATTTGTGCATATTCCCACATTCCTTCCAACCGAAAAGCATTTGCTTGCATTACTTACATATACATATGTACATATGTATGTACGCTGTATGCATAATGTGACCAACTTTTTATAGCTCAAAGAAGTACAGCTTAGGTTGGGTTAAGTTAACGCCGCGAGCCGATTACAAAAATTCGAATGCGGCTAATTTCGATCCCTGAGCCTCGTGAAGGTTGGACTGTCTAAAAGAAAGTGTGGACATGATTCCACTTCATCTTCTTCTTGACAGCTGATACAAAAGTGTCTGTCGAAATTCCTAGTCTCACCGCATCAGTACCAATCGCACAATTGCCTGTCAGAACCTTCATCACTAGCCTTTGAGAGGTAACGTGCTTTAAAATGCCATATAAAAACATTTGTAGCAGACAAATATATTCTTTTCCATTTTTTATGTCACAAAAGGACCCAGTTTCACTTAGCCTAATAGCAGTTCGTGCTGCGACAATTCTGTCTGCAATATCTGCACGCGCCGTGTTCAACATATGTATGTTAAGCACGCCAGTGTAGGCGTGGTTCCTAATGCTCCGCTAATTCCTGTTTTAAAAGTACAGCCTTCTCTAGTGAGCTGCACCACAAGGGCTCCTTAAACAGCATAGGCTTAAATCTGGTTTCCTAGAGCTAATGAATTAATTTGGGCGAGAGACCCAACCTTTTACCGATAGCTCCTCTACAAGGCAACCGACACCTTTCCTACCCTTTCCCCAATGTTAGGCTTCCACGACAGCCGCCTTTGATCGCCCACTTAGTTACCTGGTTCATGTAGCCTTAAGCCAGATCAAAAAGGGTGTATAGAAATCGCCTCTTAACCAAAAGTTCCACATCATCTACATAGGCGTTCACCCGATAGCCCACTTTTTCCAGTTCCTATAGAACTGCAATTCAGAGCAGGGGAGAGAAAACACCACCTTGTGGAGTGCTCCTATTGACTCTTCACTTAGGGCAGACGCTCCTCCACTCCGCCGCGATAGTTCTGTCACGAAGTACGCTGTAGATAAGCCTTATTAGGTTGCTTTCAACCCCCATATTATGAATATACTCGACTATTGCCTTTGGAGTGGCATTGTTGAAGGCCCTCTCGATATCGAAGAAGGCCCCTACTGCGTAGTTTTCATGCGTGAAGGCTTCTTCTGACCACTTTACCAATGTGTGCAGGGTGGTATTCACCGACATTTTCTTGCAATAAGCATATTGAGCTCTTGAAATACAGTCACGCAGGATCGCATTTTTTATGTACAGATCTATCAGACTCTCTAGCGTTTTAAGCAAAAACTTTTTCAGCAAAAACGAAAAGACTGATAAGCCTAAAATCCCTAGAGGAAATATGAGAGCCTTTTCCTGCCTTCGGGATGAACGCAACACTGATTACCCTTCAAGCCTTTGGATGTACCCGATTCTCACGCAGTTCGTATAAATAGGATCCAACCAATTGAACGACACCGTCAGAGCCCTTTGCAGCTGCGCAGGTATGATGCCATCGGTCCATCGGGCGACTTTAATGGTTTGAACGAATTTATTGCCCAGGCCATGTGATGATCGTCCAGAAGATCGGAGAAGTACAGGATCTGGGGAGAGATTCTATAACCAGTTAGCGACAATTTTCGAATTACTATCGCCCTTTTTGATGCAAAAACATTTATATCATGAGTCAAAAAGTGCGACAGCGATCCGAAAATTATCGCTAACTGGTTACAGAATCTCCCTTCTGAAGTACAAAATATCGAAAGAAGTACATTGGGCTGTACTTCGAAGTATGAAGTACAAGATCGAAAAAAGAAGTACTGTACTTCCGAAAGAAGTACGGTTGGTCACATTATGTATGCATAACAAAATGCATACCCAAAACAAACGCGAAAAATATCTCCCATACAACGTCGTTGAAAATTTTTCGCGAAAAGTTTATCGCGATAAGCTGTTGTGAGTGATCGCGAATGGATTATTTGCATCGTTTTTCATATTTATGAGAGGCCGACATCGGCAATGCTCGGACTTCTTATATTCGAGTGAAAGGAAATTTCTTTGCTTTTTTCGATCGCGAATGAAAAGCAGCGAAAATTTTTTTTGTCGATCGCATTCCGAATGTGAGAGATGATAAATTTGTTGCATTTTTCACTCGCGATAAAAGAATGCAAAAATAGACTTGGAATATTATCGATCGCGATAAATCTCGTAAAAGAATGAAAACGAATAATCATAAATGAGAATTTCCGAACCCTGAGAAAAAGTAGCAATTTTAAAGAAAACGTATTCTCCTGTTCCAGTTAATAAGTGTTACATAACAAAAACTTGTTGAAAAAAATTTTATGGTTCTCCCAAAACAAAAAAATACACAAAAAAAATTTTGAAATGTTATAAAAACAATGTTCACCAAAATAAATATTTTTTTGGTTTTTAGTAAAAATTGGTTGAAAAATGAAAGCTGCGGTGCATTATGAACATTAAATTTTAATTTTGAACCACTCTGTGCTGGCTTCGTCGTGCAGTATGAATTATGGTAAACGCATGGTAGCAAAGGATGGCGAAGTCCTTGAAAAGGATTTGGCTTAATTTTTCGCTACAGCAGGGGAACTTGTACAATTAAATAATATAACTAACTGGTAAATAATATGGTCACCGTAACTATAAGTGACCATCAAGTCAAGGTGCAGGGATGGTATTTTTAGGAACAGTGTTCGAGACTTCTAGCTTTAATTTAAGCCTAATATCGCATTTTGTTTCTTTGCTAGAGCTTCTAAAATATTGCAAGAAAACGCGATTTTGTTACACTTTGACCTAGTTTTTCTCAAAATCTGCGGCTGATGAACTTTATGCTTACGGATTCGTAATCGGCACCGAAAAGTCTATCAAAAACATCTTTATCATTTGCCGCAACAAAATTGTTTCCTATTTTTGTTCCCTTGTGTAATATATGTATACGAATGAAGAGTACATCAAGTATCACTTAATTTAAATTTTTAGCAAACGGATCGCTACTGCAGCGATTGTGATATAAGATTCAATAATGTTAAGACATATCGCGCGCATAAGATGCATTATTGCAGTTCACGCCGTACTGAGGGGTAAGAAATAAATATAGAAAAATCTGACTGGAAATATTTGGTACTAAGTTTTCATTTCAATGTAGACCACTAACGCCTAAGGTTGAAGTTAGCACAGCTAATGCCATTAAAGCGTCAGTAGGTACAGCGAGCATCAGTCCACAGTTGCGGGCAAAAACTCCCACATCTGCTATGGTTGCAGTTGCTGCGGCCGCGGCTGCCGCCGCATCGTTACCAACACCAACGCCGCAACCGTTTCTAGCATTGCCCACCAATCCAATATTGATAATACCCTGCTCACTGATACGTGCAGCAAGTTGGATACCGGGACCTCTGTAAGTAGGGAAAAGTAGTATTTTAAACGTTATGGGTGCAATTTTACACATTTTAATGCATTCCTCATCATTAAATATTTTTAGCACTTCACCATTGGCAGCACTTCCAAACCCCGACGGCACCTGTTACATGCTGGATAACGGAGATTTAAAACCTCTAGCCACGGCTTTAAATATAAGCGCGTTTAATTCCAACGCTACAATAACTGATACTATCCTTGGCTCGCCCGCTGCAGTGCCGTTCAACCTTAACACCCCACACATACCCACTGTCGAAACATCACCAGCTTGTCAACCTTCGTTAGTTAGCACGAACGAGCCTCTACTTCCTGAAAATAATGCTGGGCGTAACGTGGAGAGGAGTGAGGCATTAACGCCAAATCGAAGAGAAGGTGCACGGTAAGGTCCTAGAAATTTTTTAATTCACGTTATCTTTAACAGCTGTTTATGTATACACACCAGAGATGGGGCGCGGGATATCGGGACCCGCGGTAGACACGGTACTGATTTTAAAATGGCCGGGATGGGCGAAATCGGGAAGATGTGTAAAAATGTAAGAGCGGGAGGGTAAAATTTTTTTCCCGGCACTCTCGAAATTCAGAAAATCTTACTTAAAAAATATGAAATCAGCACTATTTAATTTTATATTGAAACCAAAACGGACGGCAAGCAAACCCAAATCACTAGAAGAGCCAAATCTTTCAGTATGGCGAAAGTAGACAAATAGATTCAGGTATTTTAACATTTGTGGAACTATGATTATAAAAAAGCTTTTAATAACGTTGAATGCTGTTGTATAGTGTGTTTAAATAGTAAACCTTTCCCCTTGATCGTTGATCATCAGCTTAGCAGCCCTATTCGTGTGTTGTCACAGTTTAATTGTCATTGTCGTCTCATCAACTGTAGTCGAATATTACTCCAAAATAAAAGTCCTTTCCAGATAACCAACAAACCGCTTATTAAAATTAAACAACGGCCTTGCCACTTTTATAATATTTATACCAATTTATTATAAGTTCAAATCAAAATTATCAGAGCTTGGTATTTTTTTACTAACGTTGTTTGCACCTTTTTTATTAAACATATATAAAATGTAAACTCTTAAAGGACACTTCGTCATAACTGTTGTTTTTATTTTATAATAAAAATCACGAGCGCATTATGTTTTTTTTTTTTTATTTTCTTATGCGATTTTAAAATTTAATTGTAAAGAATGTTCTTCCAAAATAACACGTATTTATAATATGTATTTTGGTGCTAATTTTTGTTTGTACTTTTGAACTTCTCATCAGATTTTGCGAAAAATTACGCTTTGTGGTTAGCGTATCACCACTAACTTAAACAAATTTTGAATTTAAAAATTCCAATGTATACAAAAAACTTGAATTCGGCTTGTACAGACCACCCTTCCGATAAGCAATTAGCATAAGTATAATTTTGATCACTTTCTTCATTCGTTCTGAAATCTACCCAGTAAGAACCCTATCTGTTAACTAATGCATTACATGCGCTTAGTACTACAAAAACTTTATGTGAGAAATTCAAAAACATTCCATCATTTTACATAGGGCTCCTGGAGAAATCTAATACCATGTTCGGACCGGCAACGAAAACACTTTGAAACGAGTTTTGGGATTGTGGGCTGTAAGCTGTTCGAACCGGCTGTTAGTGTTTTCGTTGACATTTCTTTCATCCTTTGTTTACAGTTCTGTTACCTAAAAATTGTTCTGTTATATTACGTTCAAATCGGCCCCATTTAACTTGTTAAATGAAAAAGAGCTTTTTGGAAAACACAATCGTTCACATTGAACATTTGGAGTTAACTTTGACGGTTGTTTGATTACCAATAAAAATTCGAAAAACACTTTTGAAAATCAAGTTTTCGTGCTTCAATTTGTTTTGTGCGAATGTCTGCTTAATTTTTAATATTTTTCAGAATATAATTTTTTTGGACGTCGGCGTGTCAAATGAAAGCTTTTGTGTCTTTCTGATTGGCCGGAGCAGAAAGCTTTCTGATACAACACTGCGCTGAACCGGTTTTCAAACGAATTAAATGATTTAACTGGTTCAATTTTCCAACAACAATTGCATGCGATTTAACTTGTTTATGAACATGTTTTGTTCATTTAACTAGTTCAAGCCCATTTAACATGTTTAGCTCGTCAATTTGAACATAGTATTAGGTAGAAGTGATTTCGACAATTCTTTCTTTTGAACTTCGACTGAAATGTTAACTCTTAATTTTTTAATTAAAATTTTCAATTGTGAGCTGTGCGACTGATTTGAAATACACAATAAAATGAAAGGGAATTACGAGCGGTGTGCTGTATGTGGCAAGAGCCAGGACAACAAACTTTATTGGCAAGTGAAGCGACAACGGTGGACAAATAGGTGCGGTCTTTCATTAGAAGACTATTCGCGTGCGCTCGAGAACCATCTTAGTGCCAGTGACTTTATATTTGTTGCCCATCGCAACTGAGTACTTCTAAGCGGACGCGTTTGTTCCCAGTTGCAGTACCTCTACCATGCGATTCTCCAATGCTTGAATTATCTGAGGTGTCTGTGGGGACGAAGTTAGATGTTGATGATGCACATTTGGACAACTGTCAGTACAATTCACCTGATTTACATTACATTGATTTAAGTTTTTGATATAGATACAAAACTGCTATACCTTCGACTATATTTTTACCTATTCTATCACAGTGTTCGCGGAGCATTTGCCCTGAAGGAAAGATTTGGATCATGATAGAATTTGGTACATATATAACAAAGGGTTAATTTCTTTGTTTAAATTTTTTGACATTACAGTCAGCTATGAGAGAGCTCGACTGAGTTGTCACTCCTAACTTGTTGAATATACCTTGCATATATCGATGGTTGAGTAGAAGATCGACCTATCTCGGCAGCTAGTTCAAAAACGCCCTATCTCAGAAAACTTTTCAAGAACGCCATACTTCAGAACTTGATTGAAAAACGCCTTATTTCAGAATTGTATTGAAAACCACCCTATCTCAAACGAAAATACATTGAAAATAAGCCAGAATTTTACTTTAAGGGTACTCATCGATTCGCGCAAGTTTTATATTTGGGCAATTAGGCAACTTTACGCAGTGTGTTTCATGAGGACAATTTTATATTCTGTGCAATTTCACACATTTAATTATTTGACAATGTTAATTTAAAAAGTTGAACAATTGAAACTCGAATTTAAGAAAATATTTAAGTCTTACGAAAAAGCGTTGAGCACAATTCAAAATGAAAGTAAACAAAATAGTTAATTGAGGGTTGCACATCACACTGCGCAAATTTGCGCGACAAAGGCTGGCTTCCAAAACGTATCAATACAATGTTTGGAAACTGTTATACTGCGGTATTCAAACTGTTTGTATATGCAGAGTTGCGACACATTGCAACCATATACATTGCATATTTTAAATACTCAGTATGCCAATGAACAATTTTTATGAATTTTCCATTTTTAAAACACCAATGGTAACCAATAACAAACGAAGCATCAACTTTGTTTCTGATGCGCTGATTGCGCTAGCGATGTGTTTCGATACATTTTCGGATGCGTTTTGGAAAAGTATACATCGTCAACATTTTGTAGTTCGGCGTTATTGAACGTTATACTTTGTACCTATGCAAAGCAATTGACGTTTTGGAAGTCAGCCAAAATTTCCGCGCAAACTTGCCCTTTTTGTGCAAATAGCTTTCAATACAAATTTTGACATTTCATTTGCGAGGGGTTTAAATTGCGCAGTTTGCCCAGTTTGCGAGAGTTTTGCGCTTTTAAATGAGTACCCTTTTTATTTCTGGAAATTAATGGCCGGTCATGAATTGTTTACACTTTTTCACTCATACAGCATGCATACTCCATGAATGCATACATTTATAAAGTTTATAAATAAACACCCAGTAGAAATTGGGTGTATTCATTCATGAATTATGCATGCTGTATGAGTAAAAAAGTGTAACTGTCTAACCAGAATAATGAGGCTGTAGTATGTAGCAAGAGCTGTCAAAAGTTAAAATATTCTAAATGCTCTAAGCTGCCCACAATATGTAGCTTTGTTTATGGTGTATTATTGCTTATCTAGCTGATGTAGCTAGCGAAATAGTTTGTGGCTGTGGTACTACATTCTGTTTAGCCAGTAAATATTTCATGAGCGGCCATCTTATCTTATAAATATTATAAATGTGAAAGTTTGTATGTTTGGATGTTTGGGAAATCATCACGCGGNGAAACGATTGAATGGATTTGCATGAAATTTTGCAAGCAGATAGCTTATGACCTGCAGTGGAAAATGGGCTAATTATTTGGAAGAGTTGCCACCTGTTAAAAAAGTTTAATTAAATTAGTACGCGGAAACGAATAAACGGATTTGCATGAAATTTTGAACACAGATAGCTTATGACCTAGGTTAGAAAGTAGGCTACTTTTTTTAAGAGTTGCCACCTGTTAGAAATGTTTAATTTAATTAATACGCGGAAATGAGTGAACTGATTTGCATGGAAGTTTTCGCACAGATAGCTTATGAGCTAGGGTGAAAAATGGGCTACTTTTTTAAGAGTTACCACCTGCTAAAAAAGTTTAATTAAATTAATCTTATCTTATAATATAATATAAATATTATAAATGTGAAAGTTTGTATGTTTGGATGTTTGGGAAATCATCACGCGGAAACGACTGAACGGATTTGCATGAAATTTTGTACGCAGATAGCTTGTCGGCCAGATTGGTTAATAGGCTATTTTTTTAAGAGTTGCCACCTGTTAAAAAAAGTTTCATTTATTTATTATGCGGGAACGACTGAATGGATTTGCATGAAAATTTGCACACAGATAGCTTATAACCTAGATTGGAAAATAGGCTACTTTTCTTAAGAGTTGCCACCTGTTAAAAAAGTTTCATTAAATTAATACGCGGAAACGACTGAACGGATTTGCATGAAATTTTGCAAGCAGATAGCTTATGACCTACAGTGGAAAATAGGCTAATTTTTTGGAAGAGTTGCCACCTGTTAAAAAAGTTTTAATTAAATTAATACGCGGAAACGACTGAACAGATTTGCATGACATTTCGCACAGAGATAGCTTATGACCTATGTTGGAAAATAGGCTACTATTTTAAGAGTTATCACGTATTAGGAAAGTTTAATTAAATTAATACGCGTAAATGACTGAACTGATTTGCATGAAAGTTTGCACACAGATAGCTTATGACCTAGACTGGAAAATAGGCTACTTTTTTAAGAATTGCCACCTGTTTGAAAATGAAATTTTGCTCAAAGATGGTTTATGACCTGGATTGAAAAATAGGCTACTTCCTTAACCGGTTTTCCGATCAGAACGGAATTTAGTACACTTACTACGGATTTCGGAAGGATGGTCTT